AGCAACCGACAGCCTTTATAAAAGTGGGCCTGTGATTGGCTGTTACTTACGCGAGATTTGAACGGGACTTACGTAGGCGTCGGATCAGATGTATGTAGGGCGGAATTAAAAAAAATCAAAATCAAAGTAAAATAATAAAATAAAAAGGCATTAATAACAAAAGTAATAAAATTAAAATAAGTTTATAGCCAAAATAATTAAAGCCCGTACACTACATCAGATTTTAATCAGATTGATCTCCTCCTAACTCTTTAAGTTCATTAACAATATAAAAAAAGGAAAAATATGAAAAGGTGTAATGCAAGTTCCAGTCGTATTAATTAAAGCAATTTAATGTCTACCGAGCAGTACAAGCTGGTCTGACAACACCATGTTCTCTAGATATTAATTAGTTATGAAACAATCAATTTAGTCAGGGGATTATTGACAATAGAACCCAAATAGATATGTAAATAGACAGTGAATCAATATTGAATCAGAATCCTAATTCAAATCAGAATCCCAATTCGAATCAGAATCAAAATCCCAATTCGAATCAGAATCAAAATCCCACTTCTGACACCAAAATGTGAGTGCAAGGTCTGCTTATTGATATTGAGATTGAAAGGGACTCCTACGTAAGTCACGCTGGACAGTTTGTTTTTCACTGCAAGAATGGGGTAGACTAAACAATAGTACTTGAAATGAAATACATACGCACAAAATATCAAGTTAAAGCTCGTGGTATCATTGTTCTCTTTATTGCGTGTTATATTGATTTTTTATTTAATAATATATTTTATGCGCATCCATTACAGGATCACGTTCCTTTAATACGTCTGCTCGAATAATCATATTATATGAGAGGGAAATATCACATGGCTCTTATCACATTTCAGTTGAGATGTAAGCAAGACCTTTCATATAAACCACTGCATCATTGAATGATGATAAAAAAGAGTACTCTCCAAGTAAATGCCGACAAAGGATTCATCATGATCGTTTAGAACCAGAAATATACTATGTTTCGTTCACTGCGAGATCCCGAATTATGCATGAAAATGAACGTTAAAAATAGGACAAACAAAATGTTAAGGGTCGCAATGACGTCAAAACAGACAAAACGCCAAAACGCATGGGACTCGCCAGGCGCTATTTCGCTATTATTATTTGATGTTGGTCAATTTTGCTGAGGTAAGTGTATCTCAACCTCATCACACCCCCCCCCCTACCGGAAGCTCGAAATTACGACATTGATCTGCAACAAAAGTAATTTAAGTTCAAAATCATATCAATAGATTTTCGAAGCTGGCGATGTGTTCACATCAGTGTAGATATATTTAGTCAGACAGGTCACTAGATTTTTTGAATCACAAAAATAGCTTTTCACTTGATAAGTTTCTAAACATGTTCAATGGTTGTACTTGTTGTTAGGTCTAATATCTGTCCCAGAATTAATTTAATAAAATGTGGGAAAACTTATCAATGAATTATCAGCAGTTCTATCTTTTTTATTAACACACATGCTCCAAAATAAAACATAATATTGTCCACCCAGCTTAAATACCAGTACATTTTGTCGTGACCTATTAATCTTATCAGGTAAAAATTGGACATGTATATATATCACATGTTTGTAGCAGATTAAGAACTTTTGTAAATATTTATATAGACTGTTTATTATTTTATACATTTTTTTACTTTATTTTATTTTAATTTATTATTTATTTGCTGTCAGTTTTTTAAGAGTTTTGATAGAATGCCGTTAACATCTCGTATGAGCTACAGACAATCACAGCTAACCTTTTATATTAGCCGAAGGCGTACTCATTGGAGAAAATAATTAACAATTACAATATACAAACACAATCGTGTTGCGTGGCGTGGGTTTCATTTTTAAGACAATGATCTCAAAGGTTGGCCAAGGATTGAAAGGGTGGTTAGATATTCGAATTAATTTCTCATTTGCGTTTGAAGGCTAAAAATACATGTTCTGTCATCTACTGTGACGGACAATTTATTTCATTTTTCATTTTACTGACGTGATGTTGACAATATTGTGCGTAAGTTGCAGAAAACCAGGCCAAACATGTATCATCTAGAACGTCTTGCGGTTGATTGCCGAAGCCCTGTGCAGCAGGATTTTTTTCGAGGGAATTGGGGGGGGGGGCAGCAATGATTGACGCAATGTTTGTCAAGAGAATACAAACATACAACTGCAAATTTTATCCTTTAGTTATACTAAAACAAACAAAATGTTGAAAATCACAGATATTACGACTTTAAAGTCTTGAAAACTAGTGTCTGAAAGGTTTGGCGATAACAAATTACTGTTGGATGGAGTACTGTAAACGCATTAATGATCGCTGTTGTTTTTTTATTTTTCTATTTTCACTGGCATGTGAGGGATTTTCTCATTTATACATTAAACTTGAAAATATTTTCATGTATGTAGGTTTATGTTTAATGTTCCCCATAATACTGCTGGGTCCAAACGCACACCAACAGTAGAGAGTAAACAACTGTATTGTAAGAGCCGCTATCTGACCTGGCATAATTGACCAACTAAGCAAACATCGTGTTTAAAACCATTGTGTGACCGGGTTATTTCATTTCATCTAGGGTTTGGTGAGTATTGGGTATTAGAGGCACGTCATTTGGACACCCACAAGCCCTGTTTCATACATTGACTGTGTTGTATTGCGGCGTCAAATTGTCTGGACGATAACATTGCTCTGATTAGTTCAAAATATCTCCTACCTTAACCTCCTATCATTGCAGTCAAGGTAAGATACTTGGATTTTTACCATAGTTAGTTTCACAATTATCATGTCAGTTATTATTGGAGGCATAGCACATCAATGTCATGCGTTACAGTTTGGATTCTTTGTGTCTGTGTTAGCATTGAAAAAACAAAACAAGTGGCGTATCTGTTTGTTGCTAGTATAACATGTATAGAACTCAGTACATTCTCGAATAACCTGTGAGTAAGACGGGTGGTTAGTGTACAATCTCGAACTTCATTCATATCAAACACAACTATGACATTGTTTGTCATATTAATTAAGAAAGTGGAAACAGTGGCTCGTATTTGGCATTTCGCATGCAACAGTACAACAGCTTTCAAGCAAGCGTGACAGAGCTATCAAGTTATCACGCTAACACAATTACGTCCCCTTGTGTCAATGTAAAATGGATAGTGGCACAGCTCGTATAGTAAATAATACAATATTCACCAATTCAAATATACAGTGGATTGTCATAGAAAATATATATGTGATTTGCATTTTTATAAATTTCCAGTTCTATTTCCCAGATACCAATATGAGCAGTGGTTGCAAGACTAAACTACAGAAGAGCTATTATCACAGTGCCTCAGCTCAGCCTTTCCTTGGAAAAACTGTCCACGAACTGCAAGATGATGTGGCCAGGCAATTTCCGGATAGAGATGCACTCGTGTTCTGCGAGAGCGGCAAGCGAATATCATTTAAACAATTTTTAGATGATACCAATCAACTTGCAAGTGATTTAGTCAAGCTTGGTCTAAAACCTGGTGAGCGTGTTTGTCTCTGGATGGGCGATGGATACGAGTGGATGCTGTTGAATTTAGCTGCTACTAGAGCTGGACTAATTGCACTTGAATTGGCAGAATCACAATCGGTGGATCATTTAAGATACACAATAAATCAAACGAAGTGTTCTGCTATGTTTGTCGGCTTCAGTCTATACAATCAATATGATAAATTGAAACAAGTTTCTCCCGATATAGAATCTGACACAACAACATTATCTCGTGTACCATCATTGCGTTACATCATAACATTCGACGATGATTGTCCTCTTATTGGATGCAGCATTGTAATGCACGAGGGCAAACTTCGAGGGCGTGGCGGACTAGAAGAATATCAGGTAATTAAGGATTTGAAGAGCAAAGTTAGTGCAGATGATCCTTATATGATAACCTTCACGTCTGGCAGCACTGGACACCCCAAACCCGTAGTTCGCACACATAGAGGCACATTAGAGAATATGTACGCCTTGAAATGTCATGCAACACATGATGACCAAAGCATAACGAGAGTTCTCAAATTAGGATCCCTTGTATCATCATGTGGCTTATACCAAGCTATGCTACTAATGTGGGGTGCAACTCTAGTTTCACCAAGACCGACAGAAGATTTCACTGGTGCATTAGAGGCCATTGAGAAAGAAAAATGCAATTTCGCTCTGTTATTTCCTCAGTACTTATCGCAAGCTGTTAATCAGCAAAATATTGCGAAGTTTGATGTTTCATCACTAAAGCGATGTTGGTGTACTGGGAATGT